AAAGGTCGTGGCGTTTTTCTTGTTACATTTAACGGGAAAAATGCCACGAACTTTTTCTCACATCTAACATTTTAATTATTATCGAATTGAGTGAGTGCAAAAATTCAAGCCCGATTTATTATTCAAAATGCAATTTCATGAAATGCAATTTCATGAAAATTTCATTCATAAAAATAAACGAAATTTAAATTTTAAAAGAGGATTTAAAATTTTCTATTTAAAATTTTTATTTTCAAAAGGTCACTATGTTTTTTAAGTTTTTTTTCTATGAATTTGATAATTTTTATATTGTATATAGGAAACGAATTAGACAAAATAGAAAATTTTCTCTCTTTATTATGTCATAACTCAAAAAACAGATTTCTTAAAGCAAAAATCGATCTATCGAAAAGCTTCGATCTATCGAATAGTAGGTATAATTATCAATTTAAATAAGATATTGCGTTGTGGACTTACATGTTATAAATTTTTTTAGACTCGGACACTTTCGCACTCATCCATATTTGGAAAAGTCGTGGCGTTTTTCTTGTTACATTTAACGGGAAAAATGCCACGAACTTTTTCTCACATCTAACATTTTAATTATTATCGAATTGAGTGAGTGCAAAAATTCAAGCCCGATTTATTATTCAAAATGCAATTTCATGAAATGCAATTTCATGAAAATTTCATTCATAAAAATAAACGAAATTTAAATTTTAAAAGAGGATTTAAAATTTTCTATTTAAAATTTTTATTTTCAAAAGGTCACTATGTTTTTTAAGTTTTTTTTCTATGAATTTTATCGAATAGTAGGTATAATTATCAATTTAAATAAGATATTGCGTTGTGGACTTACATGTTACAAATTTTTTTAGACTCGGACACTTTCGCACTCATCCATATTTGGAAACTGACAGAAAAAAAAAATACTAAACGCGCACTTACATATGTTTCGGTCCGGCGTTAATCCTCAGATCATGCTTAATCAGACGTATGATCATCTTCAGATCATTGGCGGTACATCTAAAATTTTTATCAAATATTCAAGTAAACATAAAAATAAAAAAATAAACGATAGTATTTAACCATTCAACTGCGAGCATCGTTTGTAGTTTACATGATATGCCTTTCATATTATAAAAATTAATATAATTTAAAACAAATGTGAAATTTAAGAAAAAAAAATGACAAGGAGTATGTAATATTGATGAACATACACAGAAAAAACAGTATGATTGATCTACACAGAAATCTGGTGATGTCAACCAGATTAAATAATAAAAAAGTGGAACAACTATTTATGTATTTAACTATACAATGGTTGAATGACTTATATTGCAGTGATGGCGTTTCACATATACATATTTTCAATTGTAAGCGTGAGTCGCTTTTGCTTTTTAAAATTGCAACTTAATTTATAGCATGATAACAAGAAATTAATTCTTATTAATAATTTAATATTTATTATTATACATTCTTTATAATATCATGATTGACGCAACAATACAGATATATAACTTATCCATAGAAAATGATCTCCAAGTTTTGCTTGCCACAACTAGATTGCTCCTAATTACATCGATGTAGTTTGATACATCAAAATAAATAAATCACATCAACTATTCACATTTCTATCACATAAAGATAACTAGAATAATGTTTCTACATTTCTTACAACCAAATATTTTTAGTTATGTGAAACTATATCTTTCTTTTCCGTGTAAATATACGATAAAGCTAAATAAAAATGTAAATTATAACCTATTAAATATGTTAAATGCTAAAATAGAACGACGATAAAATTTTTACGATATTTTATATTAATTAGATAGCGATAAATCGGCATTAATTGACAAAGTAAAGCGATAATAAAATTATATCACTACTTTATGCCAATTGGATATGAAAACATTGAAACGGATTACGAACATAATCACAGTTTGTATATTTGTTGCGTTGATAAAAATTCCAAGAAGACCTCTTTACATGTTGCAGTTGGAAGGTTAACAAGAAGAACGATCGATCAATGAACTTACTTATCGAGGATAGATCGAAAATGCTGGATCTGCTCCTCCTCCTTGGTCAAACGCGATAGGTTTTTCAAAAAGAGATCAACCTGTTCGATAAAACTCATTAATAAAGACATGAAATTTCAGTAAATCATCTCGCGCGTATTCATATATTTTTTTTTATTAGATAAATTATATTGAAAAAAAATCGAAATTTTCGCAAGCAAATGTTACACGTGACGTTATCTTCGATAATTACTGGTTAAAAAATTTAACTGATGACGAAATATTGTATATGTATTTCACAGTTCAAGAACGTGATCTACATAACTTTTAAATGATCTATTTTTAAAAAATAAAAAAGATACACATATATATATATATATA